CAGACCAAGATCAAACAAAATGCTGATACCATGCATTCCAGTTCATTTGAATGTGACAAATCAGCACGATCATCCGGAAATTAGAGGTTAGAATCGAAATCGCAGAAACTCTCCTGCCCATCTCACGACTGCCCGATAAGGTAGGGCGTTATTCTCAAATGCTTACGCCAATTCCCTGTGACATTGTCGGTCATTTCTCCTAAGGAGAACGGCTGCCATGATGTAGGAGCGTTGCTCGAAAGAGTTACAATTATCTCGCATGACGGTAGTCAAACAACTGATTTTTCATTGCTCTCTGAGCTAACAGAGACACTCAAAGAACCATCTGTTGTTGTGAAGACATACTAGTACTGCGTTTCTTTCTAACGACAAAAAATTATGTGATGATCTGATATTTCTTTTAGGAAAGAAATGTTGCCGTGACTTTTATATATGAATCACGAGAAATGCAAACATGTAAAAACGTACTCAGCAATATTTGTCCACTGTCTTTGTCTTGATTAGCAAATACTTGTTCTGAAAGGCACTCCATTTCTTCTTTTGAAACACGAAACATTTCGGCACATACTGCAAGTTATTGTTGTGTTTTTTTGTTCGTTTGTCTTCCGCATGTTCCACAGCGACTACGTGTCCTGTGGGTTTTTTATGAGTATATTCTTCATTTCCCGAATGACTTCTCAAGAATATCTTAAAATTTACAGGGAAACTCTTAATGGTTGCTCTAGGATACTAGATGAAGTCTCAGGGGACCATATGAAACATTCTTTAAAAATAACTTCCTGGAAACTGATTTGAGCTTGTTTATATCAAGATACAGGACAGAATATATTCGACTTATATTTACAACGGAAGAAAACAAAGGTCATGGCCATCTTCGTGCCATTCTCGTTCATGTACTAAATCTTGCACACAATTAATCCCGATTCAACTCCACCTTTTGTTTTATTATAATCCGACATCGTAGATGATTTACCCGTCTCCTCATCTACATCATTAAAATCGTAACCTTCGTTTAAATCGTACAATGTTGCTAGAAATAGCACTGATTTGCAGTGGCGAAGTTGAAGGCAAATCTGGGAGCCTTCGAATACCCAAATTATTTTTCAACAAATTGTGTTGTTATGTATTCAATTTTCAATATATATTGTACTGAATCGTTAAAGAAAATTATATACGACTCCCCCCCCTCCCAACCGCACCAGCGCGAAGGAATCAACAGCGCCGCTAGCTGAGCGGGGAGCTTGCCAGTGGGTTGACACCGGTTGGCTCGGACGCGCATGCGCAGAAGAGGGCAAGCGCTGGAGGCGCGCTACTTCCTTCTCTCTCGCACTCCCTGGGTGGGAGCCTAGCCTCTTTGCATGCGCAGACGTTGACGTGATGCGAGTCTACCTCCCGGCCCGGCAAATTCACCGCATCACCTGACTTTGGGGGGAAGTAGGGCGAGTTGTTTGTGTGATTTTTGTTCGTGTTTTCTTTATGAAACAATTAACGAAGCTAAATACATTACCGGGCCACCTTGTAAACGGTTCACGATACCGAAATGCAATTTTCGCTCCACAATGCGGAACCATGAGGCAAGTAATATGACGTAGAGAAGGAAATAGTAGAGATACGTAGCAATATGCCGTGTTTGATGTAAACTATTAAAATCTGCATCAAAGCAACATAACCATGAATGAACTTTCAGGATCAGAATTATTTGAAAGAAACATTTTTTTCTTTTAAAATTATTTATACAGTAGTGACTCAGATGGAATGTCGGTTTCAAGACTTTGAAAACTTCAATTTTTTGAATTTCTTGACGAAATTTTCCACCAACAAAGCGTCCTTTCCTTCAGAAATGTTTTCTTTCCTAATGCAACAATATCCATCATTTAATAGTGAGCATCTTCGAAGTGAACTGAAAAGAAATGAAACTAAGAGATGAAAATCTAAATGTATGCTCTATAGATATGATTCAATTCCTCATGATTCGCTTATGATTCTGGCTATATAAATATATCTTATAACAGTCGCTTCTTCAATACCGTAAACAGGGTTACTTGGACCCAATTTTCGATCCTTTTTTTTCACAAATCGCTTTTTTATTAATACGTTTTTTCTTTACTAATCCTTGAAAAGCTAAAAAAATATGTTTATAATTTTTTCTATAGATCTTCGGGTTTATTGTGCTCGAGAGTAGTTTAATAAGATATATTTAACACAAATCGCAAATTCGTTTTTTGAAAATTGGGTTCAGGTTTTACTGCTGTGTGGGCTACTTGAACCCACGCTTTGTTTTCGTATAGAAAACCACTGAGATTTGCACTGGGTGCATGTGTTCCTATGATTACTCGCACAAACATGAATGTAGATACATGAACACGAACACGAAGATAACGTCAATAGCTGAATTACAATTTTTATTATACAATTGTTGATCGGTAACTGTGGATGCCTATAAATAATTTCACCTATTCTCGCCCTGGGTGGTTATCTTCGAAAACAGAAATAGTTCTGCTACCTATAGATAAGCGAAACTACCCAATACATCTTAAATCGAGTTCATCAACAGTAAATCTGAAATGACTGATTTGGTCACGGTGCCTTGCAAAGACCAATTTTTCGTCTTCAGTGAACAATTTTGGATGGCCCGGTCTCTGAATGGATTTCTTCTTCAGTCCCATTTTTATGGTCGGCGATGTAGAAACAGATCTACAAGATAAGTCGATATAGATTAACGATAAAGGAAGTTTCAGCAGGAAATCTTTTGTAGTTGTGTACTATAACGGTCAGATTACTGTAAAAGCAAGAGAAAATCACTATTGTTGAAGTTGTTAATATCGAAATAAAACTATTAACACAATAAAAGGATAAAAAAGTGTTTTGGGATTAAACAGAGATACTGTAGCTTGACCCTAATATAAACAGTTTTCTTTATTAAAACAATGCATAAAGGAGTAATCTACAATCGCTCAAATATATATGTTCCTTCGCTGTATAAGTTTATAAAATGTTGATCATACTCACATTAACTATGTCTGTTTTAACTATGTCTGAATTAATGCATTGTGAAGATAAATTGTAAGAGAAACAGTTGATAAAAGTGCCTCACTTCTTTTTAATACTATTTCTTGAAACATTTTTGTACTTGCAACATATATACCATTGAGCAACGGTGACCCATGTACAAGTAAATGACAACGAAAAGTAAAAATTATTCGAACGCACTGTCTTCAACGTGATTAATGTCAAAACTGCGATTAAACTAATTTGGAACGCTCGGTGAACTTCCTCGCTTATCATCCGGTGAACTATTCTTCTCTGAAATCCAATACTTTTGGCAAAGACCTAACCTTCGAACTCTGGAAAACTGTTTATTTTAAAGCTTCTTTCTAATCCATAGTCATACGCTTCGGTGTATCTTCAAACCAGTTGTGAATATATACAACATTGCTAGTAAATCTTATTTTGGCATCAATGGCTGCCGGTGGGATGCACCTATCGCGTGGCTCCATAATTACCGATTCCCGAAACAAAATAATAATAATAATAATAATAATAATAATAATAATAATAATAATAATAATAATAATAATAGTAATAATAGTAATAACAATAAACCGAGCGAAGTGGCACAGTGCGTAGCGTGCTGACTTTGCAGCCGGGAGGCTTAGGTTCAATCCCCGGGCCCCCAACCTGACCGGGGTTTTCGTGGTTTCCCTCAGTCATACAGGCGAATGCTGGAATGGTTCGAAATCCACGACCACTTGTCATCATCCTATCACCTCATAATTCATTATTCAATTTTAAACAAACTAGTCTTACCAAGGGATGCAGCCGAAAAGCTAATCCCCATAATGACACGTTAATCTCTCTCCGGGATAGAAAACGTCTGGGCCTCGGAAGAGAACGTGTAGCATGGTCAGAAATGACCGATACGCAAATAATAATAATAATAATAATAATAATAATAATAATAATAATAATAATAGTTTCAAAAAAATATTGCATTAGAAACACTTACTTCAGAAACCAAAGTTGGGTGGTGCGCTTCGATAAGTGTGTATCATCTCAGTGCCTCTCTTTGGAGGGCTGCAAGTTCCTATCAGTTTTGTTCATGAACACTAATGGTTTCTGCGTGTGATGTGTCGCGAATTGGATGGTATATTGAGTGTGCGGACGTCATTGGCGACTCCTTGGGATGGTGCCATGGTACCGTCTTAAATTTACAAACAATTTAAAAAAATATATTTTTACAAAACGTAACGCTAAAAAAATGGCACTATATTCGTTAGTTTTGCTTCAATATAATTATCAATTAATATACTTTTTAAATTCCATTTTCCACGTCAGAACAGTGTTTAAATTACGAGTATTTCTTGTAGCAAGAGGAGAAGAAAGAAAATGTATACTAAAAAGAAAGGATGCATAAATTCGTTACTACCACACAATTACTTTTTAGTAGATAATATTTAAATTATAGAATAGCGCCCTGTTCAATATTCTGTGAATTTGCCCTTGGTTAATAATGGTAACTGAAGCGATCCTAAATGTAAGAAATTACCCTTGTAGTGTTTTGTATATATGAATAACTACAGAACGAGAGTGGTTGTTTTGTTCATAAAGATTAACTCGCCTTTCAATGAAGAAATGTCATTCAAGGGCAAGACAATAATGGCATTGAAGGTGTATGTATTCCTAAGATGAAAGTACACATTAAAGAAAGTTTTAATACAAAAAACTAATATTTACGGTTGTCATGACACTGAATTGATAATCATGATGACGTTGAGGGTCGTGCTTCTACAATATTTGCTCCAATAGGATATATCGTACAAGAGGAAACCCTGGTATGTGGCTGACTACTATTAAAAAAAACATTGTCAAAGAATGAGAGCGTAATGGACGGTTCCTTGAAACCAAGCTTAATGATGACCGGCGAGGACTGTGCACGCATAAGAAAATAAAAACGTTATTAAAGGAAAAATAAATAAAAAATAAACAAAAGAAAAACTTACTTGAGAAAGTAAATATTTTATTGATATAATCATAATAAACAATAAGAATGTGCAAACACAAAACAATATTTTAATAAATATTTAACATATATTTAGTCTTGCGTATTGATATTAAAAGATCTAATATTACAAACTCAAATGTTATTCAATGACTTATCACAAAATGAAATATTGTATTGAAAGTGATATATTTACAATGCATGCAAGTCATATAAAAAGAAAACTTTTCTGGTGATATCAAATGCGAGGTATGAGAGTTCACCACAAATTTCCTTGTCGAGACATCGTGCTCGTGCACGCCCGTGGAGCCTTTTTGGCCGAAGGGGAGCCACGGGAGGGAGGGGAGGGCAGGGGGTGGCGCAGCCCTCCGCCGCCGTCGCCAGCCGCCCCCGCCGCAGGCCGCCATGCCTTTAACATCACCTCAACCGTCCTGTCGGTGCTCTGGGGCTGTGTTCTTACAACCAGATATGCAAGCAACCGCCGACCACCTATACTGATTTTTCTGAAACGAAACGTTTTGTCATAAACTTTCAGGTTTTTTGTAAAAAAATATGTGTTAAATGGCACATACACATTCGTAAATAATTAGCTCGAAGAGGGAAATCTTATGAAGTTTTGAAAGAAGAGAGAGCGCATGCACAAAACTTTATTTGGTTTAAATGCCTACTGTAAAGAACTTTTCACTTATGAGAATTGTGTGAAAGCAGTGCCTATCACATCAGGTTAGCAATCTAATACACACATAGAATTGAAATAATTCTTCAAACATACCACTACCGATTCAATATTCCAGAGAATTATCGCATTATAAATGGAAAAGGCTGCCAAACATTACGTAAGTAATAACTGTAAGTTTATTATTATTATTATTATTATTATTATTATTATTTATAATTAGTATTACTAATATTATTAATATTATTATTATTATTAATATTTGCTTTAGTGCCGGAGATTCGACATTAGGTTTTCTTTAGCGTATGGGACTAATTGTGGTAGACCACGCCTGTATTCTATGGCCTAGGGGGTATATTTGGTGATTTTTTTCTCCTTCTGCCTTATCAATGATGTGATCTGATGGGTGGTGATACCAATAACGAAGGCAGTTTTCTCTTGTGAATTACGATAGCTGGTATATAGTCTGCAATTGTTTAGTCCGTGTGTATTTGGTTATAATATTTCCTGTTTATAATAATTATTACTATTATTTTATTATTATTATTAATTATATTATTATATTATAATAAAATGTATGGGAAAATGAACATGATACATTGTACATCCTAATATATTGTAGTTACACGTTTTTTCATTACGGTGTCATGATGGAGAGCGACGGGATGTGAATGACTTCATGAATAATATGGAGGTAGTGGAATAACAGGCAGTGGAAAATAGAATTATATGAAAATTCCCAGTGTGCCAGTTTTCAATACATCGTAATCGATAAGGCGTTCCAGAATAGCACTCAAGACAAATGAAATTCGAATTGTGAGGATGGTTAACATTTTTTAATGTTTTAATTTTTGTGTTTATGATTTGAGACTACTGCACAAACTTCAGTAGAAAGCCATGATATAAAAAGTTGAGCAATAGCAAGTTGACAGTGAAATGACAAGTGTATACGTAGAATACTAATTCTGAAATATTTTCAGTAAAGCAGAATAAAAGGTCACGAAAGTCTAAAATCGTAGATACTTTTTTTCCTTTTTGAAATGTTAGAGAGAAAAGAAATAATAAATAAGGTCACTCAATTGGCAACATTGTCGACAATGTTGACAACTTAGAATGGAAGTAAGAAAATGATAATATTCTTTACATCGGCATGGAAAATGGGACATAATTACGGCACATTTCCAATTTCTAATCAAACTCGGACACATAAGTGTATAGTTCAAGTAAATTAATTAAAAAGGCCTCTAGGCAAACTGAGATCCGTTAAGTTGAGCACAATTCACGACTGGAAAATTTGTACACAAGTCAGTTGCAGCACCGCAGATTTAAACTCCTGCAGACCTACATATCTACATCTTTGACGCTCTTCTTCGACTTTGGACACACATTTTCGAGAAAAAAATGAGAGTAACAAATAAAATGGATGCCACTGATGAAATGGATTGCCTGCAGACGACAAAATAGAATTGAATTGCAGGAAAAAAGAACGTGAGAGTGTGATAGAAAGAGAGAGTGAGTGTACGTGAGTGAGTGTGAGGGAGATAGTGGGAGAGTGAGGGAGAGAGTGGGAGGGCGAGGGAGAGAGGGCGAGGGAGGGAGAGAGTGGGAGGGCGAGGGAGAGAGGGCGAGGGAGGGAGAGAGTGGGAGGGCGAGAGGAGAGAGTGGAGGGCGAGGGAGAGAGTGGTAAGGCGAGGGAGAGATGGAGGGCCGGGGGAGGCGAGGAGGAGAGAGGTGAGGATCCGTGAGAGAGAGGGAGGGAGAGAGGGAGGGCACGGGAGAGAGGCGAGGGACAGGGAGAGACGGGCAGGGAGGGAGTGACATAAAAAAGAGGAGGGAGGGCGTGTGGCATAGAGAGAGGGAGGGAGGGTGTGGCCAGAGAGAAGGGAGGGAGGGGGCGAGAGGAGGAGGGGTGTGGGCGAGAGAGGACGGAGGGTGGAGAGAGCGGGACGGAGGGTGTGCAGAGAGAGAGAGGGACGAGGGTGTGGAAGAGAGAGAGGGACGGGAGCGTGTGGAGAGAGAGAGAGGAGCGGACGGAGGTGGTGTGGAAGAGAGAGAGGGACGGAGGGTGTGGAAGAGAGAGAGGGACGGAGGGTGTGGAAGAGAGAGGGACGGAGGGTGTGGGAGAGGGGAAGTGAGAGAGACTATCATTGGTCTGCTCTTCCTCACATACAGTACTTGCATTTACGAGTGTGTGTCCTGATTTACATGGTCCTTTTGACAAATTCTGGTATTTCAGCGAACGCGCCCATACGCGGAGTAACTTCTGGGCCGTTCTAGGTATGCGCGCGTCCGCTAAAGCTCATAAATCGATCGTAGAAAGCAAATGGATGAAGCGAGTCTGCGATTTCGTGTTTTCCAGAGGCGCATACTGTAACCGCCATCGCATATTACGACGAGAATGTGAAGCTGCGGTGTGTGTCAACGAACCCTGGAAGCAATCGGGGGCCACGGACAACCAAGTCTTCGTCGGAAACGTCGTTCCAACGAGAGGCCAATGGAAGAATACGTAGCTATTGCGGGAACAAGCTCTTCCACAGACGGCAGGAGACGGAGAGCAGGTACTAGGGTACCTATGACGTTTGACGCTTTTGGGGCAACATGGAGGGCGGACCAGGGCACTAAGAGGAAAGAAACTAAGCAACAGAGATCGCCCGACCCCTATGAGAGATTTGGAATTATCACGTTTTCAGAAGAAAGTTGTGCGAAGATGAAACATGAACTTAAGCGTCTGGGGGTAAACTCGTTATGTCGACCGTCCTGGAAAACCAGTGTTCGTGTGGTGTTATAATGGCAGTGAATCTTGTTTATAAATAGCAAATGATAGAGAATATTGCTTAAAATGAGTGGTGTAGATTCTCTATTAGAATTAAAAATTTAAAAAATTGTGGCTGATTCGCGCTGCTGTCTCGAGACCACGCTAAACTGCAAATTTATCTGCTTTGATAACTACACCAGGACTCATGCACAAGACTAACCACAACCGAGAAACCAGTACCAATTCGTGATATATGGATAATATTGAATGAAAAGTTGAAGAAAAACACTTCATGTTAGTGTATGACATATGATAAACTTCTATAGCCATGCCTTGAATGAACTCAAGTCCACATAATCCTATTTCATGAAAACCTAAGAAATATCCAATAAAATGTTTGGGGGGTTGTGTTGTAGAGTTTGTGTATCTTGTTTAAAGCTAGATTTACAGAGGGTGATCAACCAGAGCGTGAATGTCAAGTCAATCTCGATGAAAGTATTATTCTCCATTTAGTTGCTCTGCACTTTTTGGGAGAAACATTATTACAGAGAATTTCTTCATAAGTTTGCAACTTGCTCGAATGTTGAATTCATTGAATTGGACTTAGATAAGGACATTCAGGAACAATAAAGATTTTCGCCATCAAACATGCAGTCGTCTAAAGACAGGTCCATACGATGTATTGATTTACCGTTCTGATATGTGGCAACTTTTATGTTCGCGTGTCTCCTACAAGAACAAATTGATTGTTATTTTGTCGTCAATTCACATGTCAAAAGTAGAAGAAATGTCCATTGCAAAGCGAGAAATCACAAAACATTACAAAAGTGACATGTCCACGCAATGGGCTTAATGTAATACAGACGACAATCAACTTCGGCAGCATCAGATGGTTTTCAATGTCTCGCTGATACTAACGTTCGTATATTCGGACAAGGTAACGGAATAGAACTTGCAGACAGAGGAAGTAGCCTAAACGTACTGTCTCCACTACATCGGAATACATTGTAATCAATCGCTAACCAATTGCTCTTTCCTTCGACATGTTGCAAGCCTTAGCTACAAATATCATGCATAGGGACCTCAATTCAAGATTGCGATAAAATTATCACCGGGAAAAAGTTCTTCAAGATCTTTCCAGTCAGTTCTGAAAGCCTACTGTAAAAATTCCAAAAGTAGCAGCATATCATTTCACCAGAACGTCTCTGAAATTAGGGCTGGGACAGCAAATAAACAGAGGTGTAATTGATATCCCAGAGGACTATTACGTACTATTTCTGAACAAATTCTTGTTGTTGGGAGATGTCAACTCTGCCTCGAAAGAAATCACAAGCAAAGAAAATCCAGAAACGCTTGTTCTTAGAGTGGGAAGTCACTATACAAGGAATATTCTTATACGGGTCAATTTGTAAAAGCTGAAAAATAAGTCAGAACACAAGTATCTGTGTTGGTGCAATACATAGTTCTCTAAATAAATCAAATTTTGACTAAATTGTGCCATTTCATTAAAAGCTCTACAGACATCAACACGTAATATGTAATGTGCCCTGGTATCTTAGAAGCTTGGCTGTTCGGGAGTAATCACGTCCTAGATATATTTATCAACGTTTCGGGCGTCATACTACGACCTTCATCAGGGCGAAATGGGCATTCCACTTCCTCACAACAGAAGTTTCCCCGGTCGCGGGAGCCTAAGCTTTCGTTTTACCCCGGCACCATCTCCAACTTTACAGGCATAAAATATTCTCGACGCATTTTCAAGAAAAATATACATTTTATACGAATGAAATATGCCAAGAATACATAAATAGAATAATTAGAGATGCCATGGAACAAAAATGAAAATGAGTTCACCAAATTAACTTAGGGATAAAAGAATTAGTTCAAATACTTCCCCAGATTGTATTCAAAATAAAAATGTGTATTTAATTAAACGGCAACAAACACACAGTAAGAAGCTGACCAACTACAAACTGTTGACCAATTAAAACTGATATGAATCACTCGTGATTGGCAAAGTGTGCATCAAACTGATTAAGGTATAAATAAACATTTGTATATCTGGCACCAAATGAAAGAGCCCAAAAATATGAAAGTGATAGGCATTTATGGTGAAAACAAGTGTTAATATTGTTTATTAATACATACAACAAAAATATTTCCTCAATCAAAATTTATATATATGGAGAAAATATTTCTGTTGTTAGTCCCAAGTCATCTTTGACGTCTTAAACGACATGTGAAACCCACAATCATGAGATATTCAATTTTTTAGTTTTACCACATCATTTCAAGTCTCAAGGACAATATCTTAGAACAAAACTACTTCGACTACAATATATGCATATACTAAACCGTCACATCCATGACTTTAATACTGGTCACACAAAAAATAATATAATTCAAATTCGAATTATTTTTCAAACAAAAATTGCGATATGAAGAAAATACGTTCTTAAAGTGGGAATCATGTTTTTTTTTATCTACGGGCAATAATAAAACGTTTAAACAATAAACTTTTTAAAATTCAACATATACGTTTGTCATTGTGGCGGGGTTACAAGTAGATTTGGTGAGTTGGAAATCAATTGAACATTTTCTTCTCTTCAGTCAGGATAATCATTCAAATGATTTTTCTGCAGTGACACGGGGACACTTATTTACTATCTTATACGGTCACACAATTTGTAGGAAACGTATGAAGATCCGAACTCATACAAAAGAAATCGAGGGTTCTCGATTGGTGACAATCTTTCCAGGGTCTGAAATTCGCTTTTTTCAATTAGAAGAGACAAAGGAACAGAAGCGATAGGGAGATTAGCGCGACTTGTCATTCCACATCGCGCTGTATTTTCCTTGCTTCAATGGTAGCGCATGCAAACCCACAACTGAGCATCTCTAAAATCCATTGAAATAGAAGAAAGTAATTTATGAAGATTTCTGATGTTTAAACATGACTTGAAAGAGGAACTATCAGCTGCTATAAAGCAGAATATTTAAGAGAATACAGAACTTTTGGTACTTTTAAAGTACCAATAAAAAGTGTTGTAATTGGACGAATTTAGATTTTAGAGAGAAAAAGGGCCATCCAAATACGTGGTGAGCAGGTAACAAGGAAGGGGAGTGGCGGTTGCATAAAGGAATAATTCAACTGAAAAGTGGAGAATGAAGTGTAATGTCTGTTGCAATATATGTATATCAGATATTATTTTCGAAGGAGATTGAAAAGGTGTAGGTGGATGGAGATAATGCTGGTTTAAAAAATATAAATAGGTTAGTGTGAAAATATGTACAAACGTGTTTAAAAACAAAAGTTACAAAAAAGAGTCATCACTAAATATAAGAACATATTCACCAATAATTCATTTTTTAAATATTTCGTAGACATCATTATAATCAGCAAATTCTTCCTTACATCAAGTTAAAGCACTTTTCGCATCTTCCGCTAGTTTTACACCAGACGAGAACGTGACAACAACCCCCCCTTGTAATCTGGATTTCAAACCCAATCTTTACTTGGTCACTACAGAAGGGAGTGGAAAAAGTTATCAATGGCGGAATACATGGAAAATACGTAGGCAGAATAAGTGTCAAAAACGTGACGACTCTCAGACATGATATCTCTCCAGGCAGACAAGCTGGGGTCGTCAGTTTCCACAGAAAAATAAAAATAAAAATGAAGACGAGGAAGCAAACTGACTTATTAGGAACATTGAATATCGAAAACAGAGTTCACATATTTGGTGATACGACCGTTAGAGCTGGTCTTGGTCAACTTTTTTAAGGTAAAACTAGTGAAAATTGTGAATGTAAAGGAGAGGACCATCATGATCAAGACTCGGACATTGCGATAAAATTTCTCTAATTTTTTCTGGACGGTTTTGGTGTAAAATGAAAACTTCAATATTCTGTTCAATAAATTGTCTGGGGTGATTTTAATACCTGGGGATCCGTTCTGAAGAGATGTTCTACAATGGCGAAAAACGTTAACACTAGCGAAAGATTTCTAATGCAAAATAAGAACTGTCAGCATAAACATTTGAAACTTGTCAATAGATGAGGTGTACATTATCTACTGGTCAAATAGATCAATCAATGAATCAGAGATAACGATTTCATTAAATATGTGATGACCAGGAACATTCTTAAAGAAGAATCTTCTAAGCCATGGCATATACATAATCACTGAGAGACAGTCGTAGTCATCTGACATTTAGTAATACGTGCACGAGTTTTGAAAGAAGGTCCATGATACCAGCATGAGTGGCAATATAAAGGAGAAACATTATTTTCCGGGTGAATTACTAAATTTCATTTGTCTCACTCATACTAGTCCCATGTAATCATGCTGTGGGGATTGGCCAAAATCTAAGTAAGTGGCTAAGTCCCATTGAGTAACTACGTCAGCAAATGGCATTCAGAACACTGATTAGTGCGCAGTAGAACACTACAGATTTCAAGAATCCGTTACGAAAATACCGTATATTCCACTTGAACATCAGCAAATACGACTATTGTACAGTGAGAATGTCTTTTTAAACTCGGATCCTTTCTTGCCCTCAGAGCTCCATATAAGAGATATTTGTTCTTTCATAATGTTTCAAAAACGCGTTAAATAGGTACCTTTTGGCGCAATCACTTTCTATCAAAGTCACACAGAAGGAAGAACAAAGTTTCGATCAAATAATATTTCAAATAGTTTAAATGCAACGCTACTACTGCGCACTCCTGTTCTCCGCAGTGTTACTGAAATGGGGATTTACTCACCAGCAGCAGAAAACATAGCGGGATGCAGAAACATATTGCCCTGCACACCTCCGGAGAAGCCAGCAAGACCCAGACCATACAGCTGATGTAACAGCGCCATATCTTCAGAGCTGGGCGCACCGCCAGGCGCTGGCGATTTGACTGTGCCTGCGCCAGCAGCTGCTCCAGTTGCTGCCCCAGCAGCTGCTCCAGTCGCCGCGCTAGTAGTTGCACCTGTAGCTGCGCCAGGAGCTGCGCCAGACCCTGCACCTGTGCTAGCGCTGACCGGGCCTTCGCTCCCCACGGCGCCAGTCTCGCCAACCGCATCAAGGACAGCACTAATGCCGCTTGAGCCACCGGCACCACATGAACTTCCTCCAACGGGTTTATTGCTCACGTTGCTACTAGTGCTGCTGGTGGTGTTGCTACTTGTGCTGGAAGAAGTGGTGGTGGTAGTGGTGGTGGTGGTGTTGTTACTGCTGCTTATGTTGGTCATATTGTTACTACTCCCACACATTCCGGTTACGATTGAAGCCATTGGTGGGTCTTTAACGCTCGCAACAGATGGACTCGCTCCTGCAGACGTCGATGCTGCAGCGGAGTTCACCGACTGTACAGACAGAGAGTTAGGTAGAGACAGCGCCGACGCAGCGGCTATTTGTAACGCTTGAAATTGCGTCAGCTGATGGGGCGTGCTCTGCGATCCACTCGATGACGCTGGAGGCAATGTGGCAGAGCCCATGACCTCTGCTCGCCCCGCGCCAGAGCCAGCATTGAGGAGAGTTGAGACAGACGTTGCTGGTGCAGGCGAGTGAGCCGACAATGCATTACCAGTCCCTGCTGGACAATCACTCGCATTTGCTAAAGAAGTGCCAGGCGCCGGTGGAACTGTAAATTCGCCACTGGCACTGCCACTTCCATCACTAGTATTTCCGGACAAGTCGACCTTACCGCTTTCGATGTGTGTTTTGACACAATCAATATGTAATTTAGTAAAAATGTGATCTTGTACTGAATATTTATGAGAGTACCTGAACTGGCATAACTTACATTCTTCTGGAGGTCGCATGTCAGGTAAAGTGACGGGAGCGTCTGGACCTCCCAGGGCCTTCTGCAGTGCAAGCTTGTTCTTCTTTTCTTTAGCACGCGCGTTTTGGAACCACACTTGCACTACGCGTTTCGGTAAGCCAATTTCGCGCCCTAGCATTTCGCATTCTGCCATGGTAGGCGTCTTGTAGTCAGCAAAGAGAGACTTCATGACTTTGACCTGCAAACTGCTCATCTGGGTGCGAAATCGTTTTACACCGGTGGGTGGTAACGGCCGCTGTTGCCCGCTCTGGGTGCTGGAGGCGGGGGATGTCGGGTTGCTCTCGTCGCCATCCATGTTTTCTGTAGTTTCCGAAGTACTGTCATCTTCACACCCAATGCTTTTTTCACTCAAGTCAGTCAACGGCCCAGACTCTGCACGCGGTTCCATTTCCATTGTCAGTTTCATCGGACGACTTAAATCAACTGGCTTGCTCAGGTCTAGAGGTGCATCGCCAATAATCGAGCTGCTGTCACTTAACGTGGTGGAAGGTTCCTGTTTGATTTTCATACTCAGATCTGTTGGAAGGTGTAACATTTCCTTATTCCCCACATTCCCATTTTGTGCCGCATGGTGAGCTTGAAGTTCGTTAAAATATCTCTTCATCGATTCTTCGTAGTATTTCTTGATCAATGTGTTTTCCACTTCGGTTTGAAAGGGAGGATAAAGCGTATTAATTATACTTGGAGACTGAGAATTCACACTTAAATTACTTGTTTTACCAGAGTCTACTACTTGGGAGGCGTTGAATGATGTTTCAATGCTCCCATCCTCGTCGGGTAACGCGTCTATATTGATTTCTCCGCGAGTACATTGATCGGCATGCTTTGTTACGAGATGAGATTCCAAAGCTGATTTTACTTTAAAGAGAGCCGGACAAAACGGACAACGCTTATTAATGACTTGCGCATGTGCTCGAAATTGGCCCTTTCGTTCGCGCGCGCGTGTATTCTGAAACCACACCTGCACCACGCGTTTCTTCAGACCTACTTCTTTCGCAATGTTTTCCAGCATCTTTCGAGAAGGATTACTTTCCAGTTGATATTTCTGGTACAAGTAATCCAGTTGTTCGGGGAGAATGGTTGTCCTTAAGCGTTTGTCCTTCGGATGCTCCGAGTCCCTGTCGTTTGATTCGTCATAGTCTTCATATTTCCGTTTGCTGGTGGGCAATATGTTTGAGAGCGGATGAGCCAATGGAGGAGCGTTTGCAACATTAACATGCACGTCAGATACGTTTATATTTGAAAATTGCTGCTGCTGGATCTGTGCATGCTGTTGAAGAATGCCAAATGGACTATCAGGTGGGTATGAGGGGAAAAGATTAGGATTCATGATGTGAACAAGCTGGTGCTCTCTCCACAAATCGAAGCGGGGAAAGACAAGGTTGCATTTGTCACATTGAAATGTGCCCTCTTTGGCGCTGTCGTCCTGAGAGCGAGGCAATGTAGGTGAAGCGGTAAAGAGGGCGCGCGGGGTTCCTGTCGCTAGGGTAGTCGTCACCGGGACACTGGAAGCCAGTGTGGTCACGGATGGAGCTGATGTGACCTGTGAAGCTGTGGAATGCACAGGTGCTGCCTGCGTTGTTGATCCTGTGAGCGGAGTGAGCTGTTGTGTAGGAACCTGGACCGGGGTAGAGCTGGGCGACGCACCAACTGTCTGCTGCTGTTGATTTCCTTCGACAATGGTGCTGGAGTTCGAATCTTCCGACGACAAAACAGCAGCTATTTGTGCAGCGGCTGCCTGTGCTTGTGCTGATCGTTTCGCATCTTCCTCTTTAAAACAATGTGTTTTCTGATGTCTTATGAGTTCATAATAGCGCTGAAACACAAGGAGACACTTTTTGCATTGGTAATTGAGCCCAGGCGTTCTCTGAAATCTATTGGCTCCTCCCTCGTCTACTCCTGGAGATGCATCGACTGGTGGTTGGTTTTCGTAAACCTTTCTTGCCTTCTGTCGAGCGTTCTGAAACCATACGACTATCACACGTGGGCTTAAGCTCAATAGTTTTGATAAATATTCGAGATCATCATCTTTTGGATACGCATTATTTTCAAAAAATTCTTGAAGTACTTTTATCTGATAGTCCGTAAAACGAGTGCGATTTGCACGTTTTCCTGAAGAACTTCCTGAACTATTATTATTGCTTCCGCTTCCACAAGATCCAGGCATGAGACCGTGACTGAATCCATCTGAAGAGTTGGTGCTGAAAGCTCGTCCCGGGCTGATGCTTCGGGCGGATTGAGACACTGACACCGCATGCGATGAATTTGTAACTTGGCTGGGGGAGGCAAAGCTCGTGGGAGACAATTTAGAAGGAAGGACATTGTTGGAAGGAGGAGTAGTTGCATTCACTCGATTAGGAGAATTCAATGAGTTTGCACTTAGCTGCGATGTGATGATTGATGTGAGCGACCCTGGCGAGGACGTGCCTACATTCTGGTCATTGTTGCTGCACGTTGAACCTGCTAGAGACGTAACAGGGCTCGGTGGCGGGTGTAATGTGTGAGGAGGTGGCTTCTGGTCTATGAGCTCGATGTCTTTGTGATCATGCTCTGTTTCCGACAAAACGTTGTTAAATTTTTGCTCTTGAGTATCCATCATGGTATCCACAGGTTCTGTCTTGATTTGAGACGTCTGAAGAAAGGGCTGGGGAGACGAATGTTTCCTTTTGTTTTCAGGAGGTGTAGTGCAATTATCGGAGGGTGCAGGAGAATGCGTTTCTTTGGAACCGATTCGGTCATCTGAAGGAGTATTTAGAAGCATCACCTTTGCTTCACCGGTTTTCTCGTATTCCTCCAAATTAAGAGTAGTAGAGGGTGGATTATTGAAATTGTAAGGCGAATCCTTGTTACGTTGACGTTCTTTGAAGAGTGTATTTCGAAACCAATGCTTGATAACTTTCGGCGGAAGACCACTTTGACTCGCCATCTCGTGGATCTGATCCTCTGACGGAGAATTATTTATATCAAAGTGCGCACGTAATATTTTTAGTTGTTCGTCTGTTATTCTAGTCCGTGCTCGTTTCTGCTGGGCAGCAGTAACCTGGCAACACAGATAATAACAATATAATTACATTTATCTAAAAATAGGAAGATACAAATTTCAAGAAACTTGTGGCTTTTCGCAACAAAAGCTGCTAATTGATTGTGTGTTAAAATATATCTCCTGAAACAGGTGTTTCCTCACTTTCCTATTACGCTTCAATGCAAATTGAGTCTATTAAAATTAAAGGAGCTATGATCATTTGATAGTGTATATTTCTTGGTTTTAGTAAATAAAACCCAGTAAATATAACAAAAAACCAAAAATTTAAAATTATCTGCATTCGCATTAATGTGGCCTGCTAAGTCAAATAAGTAATGTTTGATGGCTATAAAATTATTGCGAGATAACGTGAGCACTACCTCAGATAAAAGCCCGTTGACAAAATACCATTAAATAATATTTATTCGTTATTTCCTGAAACTTGGCGAAAAGACCGAAAAAGGCGTGTCAATGGGATTTGTGGCCCCGCTAAACCCATTTTAAAAACTGTTTTATTGGAGCCGATGTCCTTGCATCGAAAAACAATTTATATTTGCTAAACTACTGAATTACTGTTTAGGTACAGCCATATATATACATAAAAGTTGCGTCTGTTTTTATATTAAGTAAAAGCATCGAGTATGTTATCTCTGTCGTAAAAACAAATAAAAAAACTTATACAAAATACAACATATGCTTTAGTTTTCACTAAATAAAAGCTTAAATATTAAAAATTTAAATGTGTTTATAGCTCGAAATTAAAAAGATGGTGGTATTTAACTTTAACATAATATTAGTAAATTCGTTTTAGATACGTAGTAACAGTATTTTAAATATCAATAAAGAACGTAAATGTGCTTCAAAATCTAAAAAGACAACTGTACTGAAATTTACTGTTTGACGCGCATTCCCTGTTCATTATCTGTTCATTATCTGCTGACCATGCCCAACACTCACATTGCATATTGAAAATGTAAGGCAAGTAGCCTGAATATTCTGTGCTGAAGGGTTATTCTCGATTTTTTTAGATATTGAGAAAAAGACCTACACATTTATTTTCTCTTCTTAGTAGAACAATTAGTAAAATTAATTCATTTTACTTTTCGTATTTTAATTGTGTAGTACAATAAAAATGTATTATTATCGATTATTTCATATGTGTGTTAATGCATTGAGAAATCAAGGATTTTAAAACTAATTACTAGCAGAACAGATTGTAAAAGGGGCTTCCTTCGTTTTAAAACAATTTCTTGAAACAGTTTTAGAACATGCTGTTCCGTCGCGATCCGCCAGAAATCAATAATGCCCAGAGAGCAAACAACGAAACTAAGCTCTTAATCAATTTTCAGCAGATTTTGTCTAATAAACTCCCTCGAGATTTCTAATGGTTGAGCCTCAATAAGCACTCAAAAGGTGGTTTGAAAACATATATACTATATACGAAATGATGTCACACAAAACTAAGTATCATTTATTACGGTACGGATAGACTATAATGAATATATTACAAATATAAACGCGATAATTCGCATTTCCCCATCTCACTCAACACATATAGTTGTACGCAAAAATCTCAAATTGTAAAATTTTATTCACAGTTGGACATTCATTAAGAGCCCCTTTCAAGTTGACAAAACTGAATATTAATAAGTAGGCAAAGCCAGTTACTTACCGCCTGCTGCTGTTGAATCAGATGCTGCTGCTTTGCTAGCAGAGGATCAATAGATGCGGCGGCAACAGCGGCTTGAGGTGAAAACAGAGGGTTCTGTGCTTGAGCCAAACCCAAAGGATCAAATGGCGGAGGAGGCATCATCATTGGAACTAATGGTGGTTGCAAATTCATAGCGGCCAATGCATTCATATTCAAACCCAAAGGCAATCCCATACTTAATCCTGCCATACTCATCATCATGGGGTTGAACTGCTGGAGTTGCTGCTGAAGTTGCGACGCGGCCATGACATTGAGCGCAGCTTGCATTTCATTCATTTGCTGGGCGAGGCTTATTGAAATATTAGCGTTCGCGTTAGCGTTGACATTGACGGTATTGGGCACAACGTTTGTTCCCATAGCACTGATTGACGATGTCATAGATGAAGTATGTGTAGTTGGAATGGATTCGGAGCTGGAGGCGGGTGTGGAAGAAGTAGTAGGCGTACTGGGAGTAGTAGAAGGGATATCCGACTGATCAGTCTGCTGTTGCTGTTGCATCAACTGCTGCGACATGGTTTTTGTCTGAGAGTCTTCCTTGAGGTCATCGGACACTTTGAATGCACTACAACCTGCGTCTTGCAAGGTGGTTGTCGTCGTGACGCTGCTCACGGATGCTGATGTCGGATGATTGCTAGATGACGTGCTAACGGGAACAACAGGAGAACTGCTTGAAGAAACTGCTGATATTACTGACTTCTTCTCGTATTCTGTTTTGAATTGCTGAGCATATCTTTCGAGGAATTCAGGCGGCACTAGATCCCTATGAACCTCTTCACAGTGAGCCTTGAGGACCCACACGCTGGAGAATTCTTTTTTGCAGTGTTGACAGACTGACTTTGAGACTTCCGGCAAATCTTCTTCAGGGGGATTTTCTTCTTCAGATCTAAAGAATATCTCTTCGGGTTCTTCATTTACTTGAGGCGTAGCTTGTAAAAGCGCTATTTCTTCTTCTTCCCTATCCTTGCGCTGTCTTTTTTGATGGTTCTCATTGAACTGCATCACAAGGTCGAATCCAAAACTCTCCAGGAGATGCTTATAAACCTGGGAGGATTTCTTGTTAGGAATAGAAATTCGGGTCACATGGTCTTCTTGGGCAGGCGGAGGGGTATTGTTGATGATTTGAGGAGATACACGAGTCTGTTGGGCAAGACCCACGCTAGATACCGAGACTGCTGATGAAATAGGAGTGAACATAGGAACCGGGCTGCTGAAGAGACAGTACAGCTTTTGATGAGTGTTCAACTGTTCTTGGTTAACAAACAACGCACTGCAGCGCTGGCATGACAACATGCCGTGCTGTTGATTTTGATGCTGAGGGGACTGTGATGCTACCACCTGAGACGTATTGCCAGAGTATTTCGCAACCATTGTGCTGTTTGTAGTTGGTGTAGAAGAATTAGATGTACTATTACCAACTGAAGACAAAAGGGGGGTTGTGCTGTTCTCGGAAAGAATGGTGTTGGTAGTAGGAGCTGTTAATATCTGGTCGTTATTATGGTGTGACTGACAAATAGAAGGGGTTTCAGCAGTGCCACAACTACTGTTCGCTGAGGACGTGGCTGGTTGTATTTTATTTGGCGATTCTAAATTATCATGCGATGTCTTCTTAAGTTGGTCTTGAACTTTTTGATGATCAGGCTGCTCAATAAGCGGTCTGCTGAGATCTATTTGACCAGTAAAAGCCAAATCTTGCAATTTAGAAGCACGTGTTTGATGCAGTACAGAGCGCATGTGAATATCGAGCGTGGAACCCTGACTATATGCCACTTTGCAGATATTACATTTATATGGTTTTTTGTCTTCTTCGTCCATTATGTTCAGTTTGGAGGTAGTCGGTGTCACGATACCCAGACATGTCGCAAGAGCTAATGTGCCTGGACCGCTGTGAGAAGATGAAGGATTTACAGCGTTGTTGCTTTTATTAGTATTGTTTTGTTGCTGTTCTTGCATGGCACGCTTAAGCTTATGCAAGTGACTTACTGAGTTGTAGTGCACCAAAAGAATGTTCTTTTGCGTAAAAGATTCCTTGCACACATCACATTTGTACGGTCTATTAGGATCTAAGTACTTTTCCATGGGATAGCTAAGTTTTTCTCCTTTCCGATGTAATAACGTTTTATTGTGACTAGTTAAGTAACTCTGTCTTGTGAATGCTACTTTGCAACGATGGCATTTGTACTTACGATTAGGATCGTTATAACTGTCCTCGGCAATGGCTTGACTATTTAGATAGTCTTCTAAAAACTGTTGTTCTTTGAACACAACCGAATCGTCACTGTTTTCCCCATCGCCGCCTACGTTCACTCCCAAACAATCATCCTGGCCCGGTGGTACATCTTTAGTAGAAATCTCATCTCCTTCTACGAATTCTTCCGAATCTATTTTGAGGGATTCTTTACGCAATAATTCATTAGTGGATGAGTCGAGCACCTGTCCACTAAGACCGGCTAGTAAAAGAGGGTTATTGAGCAAACTCTGCTTGTAGGTATTAAGCTCTTCATCCGAAAGCTCACTATGTGCTGTTTCAACATGTTTGTGAAGTGCAAGAACTGACCGAAAGCTTCTCCCACATATAATGCACTTAGTGGCATCACGAATTACATGATATTGTGAATGTAATTGCAGCTTTTCCATCGTCTTAAAAGCTAAACTACATTGGTTACAGCGATATTTGTACACGTGTTTTTCAGACACAGCGATATTCTGTCCAAGAACAGAAGATGTGTTCCCAACTCGGGCATGTATTTCACGAAAATGCATATGTAAGCTGTGAGAGGTTTGAAAATATTGATTACAACCCTTTTTCCAGCAAAGGTAGCCTGGACCGTTCGGGGTTTGTTTTAGTTCCAAATGTCCGGATTCATTTTGATGTATACATAATTCATCTATTGTCCTAAAAAGTTTGAAACATGTCTGGCAGCGATTTTCTTCGTCAGTTGAGTCGTCGGGAGATGGCGAAAAAACTAATCGAGCAGAGTCGTCGCGGTCTTCGCTTGTTACAAGTTCAGAAGCACTCTTGGCACTACCCTCCAGATCGTTGCCGACACAAGATTTCACTACAGCGGGTGTGGGTGTAGGAGTCACCGTATGTGAAAAAGAAGGGCCACCTCCGGAAGAACTCTGTTGTTGCGGCCGATGGAAGTGAGTTGTTTGAGAATGGGATGGAGCTGTCGGAGGAAGAGAAGTTGGCGGAGGCGGGGGTAGAACCGTTTGCGGAGCGGATGGCGCCGCACGGCCCACTGAATTGAGCCAATGGGACTGATCTACGAGAAGCAGCAGTCGTTGTAGGCCCTCCGAATTCACACTGTGAATTTGCATCACGTGGCGCTCCAGCATGACGCGGTCACGGAAGTTGTCTTGACAGAGCGGACACAAAAAGTCTCGGCCGGCAGCACCCCCCGGCGGTGACGTGGTGGACCCCGAGTGTTGAGAGAGTACGTGCGCTTGTACCCGCACTTCAGAGTTGCTGCTGAAGTTGCAGAAAGGACACATATGGGTAGGCCCTTCAACGCCCATTCCAACGTCTTCGTGCTCTGCCTTGGGACGCGACGGCGAGGACGGAGGCTCCTCGGCATTCTCCTCAGCCCCGTCTTCGCCGTAGTCTTCGAACTTGGTTTCCTCTTTCGTGACGTGGTGCTCGTGCGCAAAAGCCTCTCGCCCCGTAGATTGCTGTTGTTGCTGGTGTTGCTGTTGTTGTTGTTGTTGCTGCTGTTGTTGTTGTTGTTGTTGCTGCGGTAGCGCTGTTTGACTTTGGGTGGGTGGTAGCAGCGGAGCCTCCTTGCGATCTGAAAATGAAATTCACACAATTATTCCTCGCACTTACTGCTAACAAATCCTAAGAGCTACACATGCTTTAGTTACACATTATATGCTTTTTTATACGTTAGGATTTAATATTTAATTAGAGGACAACAGAAAATAGGAACTTCGAATTTCACTGTCGCGGCACACTGGAAACCATCCAACCGTCATCATTGCAGTGAATAATGTTGAATCATGAATAACGTCAATTTACTCATATTGATTTTTTTACGTATTTTCTTAATTTTCTCTTTTAAAATTCATTCCAAGATAACACATCGCTCGCTCTTCCATGCACTTCTTGTGTTGTAGGGCAACCATTCACCCCTTTAGTGTTTTAAAAACCAGATAAGATAAAAAGAGCGACTTAATGTATTATTAAGGTTGCACCGAATATTTGTATCGTAATAGAAGAATGAATATAAGAACAACATGTTACAGATACCATTTTCGGAAAACGTGCGGTAAGGTGTGATAGATTTAAAACAAATTACATTTGAAAACCTTTTGGTTTGTAACCACCTAATATTATAGAAACAGAAAATAGTATGTTTTTGATTTTCTATACATTAATGTTTCATTCATTTTAAGAAAAGAAAAACTGTTGCATCCATTTTACATTAATGATAATTTCGCTTGAAAGAAAAAGTTAATTTTAATGTTATAAGTTTTTAATTATTCAATCATTTTATACATTTCAATTGCTAATGAGCCAACCTCGACGGCTGAGGTGGCTGAGAGCAAGTGCCGACACAGCGCTTCGGTCCGAAGGCTCGCAGGTTCGGGTCCCGCCTTGGGCATGGTTGTTTGTCCCTCGTCTCTCGTGCATGTGTTGCCACGGAGGGCCCCGTGTTCTGCTCACCCCAAATGAGAGGAGCATTTGTGTTGGCGTCTAGTGTATGGTCGCATCTGCATTCCGTCGGGGCGCAAAAGGTAACCGAACCGGTTGTTGGTTAGAAAAGGTCCAAGGAAAGAAAAATCGCTAATATAGTACATACATATTTAGTTATTTTTCATATTAGTATATAGCACTACCATTTTATTTTTAAAAAACTTATCCGTTCTCTCCCCCCTGATAATCCTGGCTGCGCATATGCGCATTGCTGAGTTTGAAGGATCTTCTTGGACATTATTGGATTTGATCCAACATAATATAAATTTCGATGCCATTTTTTCTAACTTCAACATTATGAAAAGTAACCTTTTTCAGTTTTTATCTACGAGACGACTTCGTACGTTCCTATTCTACTCGTTCAGAATACTACAGAAGAAACACACAAAGAATACAAGAACTTTCAAATGCATGGACATAATTTACTTCCATTGTCTAATTATTATATATCTGCAACAACAACGTAACTGCAAGCTGAAATATATACATTTTACTTCTCTAATTTATGGTTTGGCTACCAACATTGAAAGAACTATGTTTTTAGATATTTTATTAAAGAAAAGGCGCTTAATAGCACATACTTTTTCTTATTATCTGTAACTTACGCCACTTCCCAAAATTCATTGAGTTCAACGAAACTGAGAAATGCGCTATATTTTTAAAGAAAAATCTATTGGATAAAATCGAAACAGTTTGTGAATCTTTTTATAAATTACCCTTACATTATGCGCAAATAACTAGATTCTTCAAAAACTTGTACATAATGTTATTTACAGTTCTAATTTTTTAGAACAGATTTCATTAAGGAAAAATTCATATCATAAATATTGTAGTTTTGCAATGTTAATTTTTTGCGATTTTCATAAATACAGAGTTCAATGAAGATTTTAGTTTATTGATTGGTGTTTCCGAGCACACCAACTGTTATGGGTAATAGTTCCATTAGTGTAGTAATTGTTTATCTCGGAAAGGGGCGTTGTTTCCTTTTGCGCTGGATGGTGAGATCCGGCGCCCATCTACGCGTCGACTAGCGGGGAACTTTGTCTTCATATATCTCCTTCCAGCAGGGCACTGTCCCATTCTGGACAAGCCCATTGCTCCCGACCGGTCGCCCGACATGCACAGTCCAGACTGCACGATTTCTGTACGAAAACTTTTGAGCATGTTCGATTTTTAATGCAGAAAACTAGTTTGACTCTAGCGATTCTAGCGGCAGACTGACTCGTTCACTAACTGCTTTCTTGACAGCGGAAATAGTCCATCTCTTCCAATTTCGTTGTTAGTTTATAGGCCGGGATCCAGCAAGAAAAATCACGTATAAGCCCAAAGCTAAAACGTTTTGAGAATTTAGCCAGTGTTATGAAGAATAAGGAAACCCAAGTATAGCGGCCTGCAGATGTCGGCGTTGCGCTGCACAATTTTTGAAATGTGTCGAATAAAACTATGCTATCGGGGAATCAGTACACAACTAATTCCTTCTGTATATTGTTTGTTAGATATCCGGTGTGAAGGAGTTGTATACCATACCGATGTTGCGACTCAAACTGTCCGCCATATTGAATTCAAAGTGGCACTTTTTATCCCCTCTTAGATTACGAGTTCAAAGCATCTTTTGTGGTCTAATGGTAGACAATTCCTTTTCATTGGCGATTATGACCACGCCATACCGTTTTGGCGTCTGTATGTAGCCGCCATACTGATTCATAGATGTCCAATTTGTCACTAGATCATGTATCATAGGTATACGCCAGAGAAAAAATATTTTCGATTGATTTCATTGTCTACAAAACGAGTCTGTAGAGAGAAAGAGTCTGAGAAATTAGCCTCTAAAGTTGTAAAATTTTACAAGTGTTATGTATAACAGGTTCATATGCCACTCATATTTCTGAGTCATGTTTAATGTCTGACATTCGAATATATAAGTACCAAAGCGATGTCATGACCTATGCCAAAGAATAAACTTGTATATTTGTAAAATATTTTTAAAATGTAGGTAATCTAATTAAGTTGTAACTATTGTAACTTTTATATGTGTATTGTAAATTGGTAAAGAAAGTTACTACGGAAATTCTATGACAATCAATATTTTAACATGCAATTATTTTTCTTTTTAGTACACCAATGTACAAGTTTTCAAAAAAATTTATTTTTCATATAGTACTGGAGACACTTGAGTTTCTCTATTCATCGTAATAATGGCTAACTTCCCAATACGATTTAGCTTTGAGCTTCACATACGCGTTTTTTCTCTCTGGCTACCAGCCTATTAGATGCGATTCGTACGATTTTATGTATCGGCGTGGCGGATTCGTGTTCTCGACTTTTCTGGGGCATTTATTTCACTGCATCTTGCAAATGTGAGGTTACTTCTCCATTCGGAGCGGCTTTTTTGCGCGCTCTCGAAAGCCTTCGCAGCCACAATCGAGCTTGCAGCGACAACAATGACTGCGTTTTTATTTTCGCTCTCCATGTTTCATTCATACTTTTAAATAAGTACTAATAAAGTAGCTCAGAACGCACGTTCACAAATGTCGGTAATGAATGTATTCGGACAGCACAATTCAGGATATCATTTGTATGTCGCCAGAGCCGCTGGCGGCGTAGAGTGGCAAACCGTACAGAAAACGTGCAAACCGTGTAAACCCTAATACTACAACCTAGTTTGGGATCTTGTAGTTTCTGTATAGTTTCTGTATGAGATGAGTGCACCAGTTCATTTTAGTGTCACTGATCTTCTCAAGACTAAATATCTATAAATATTATATGCATCTCGTTACAAAACATTGAGTGATTTTGCAGACAATAACATTTCTACGGTGCTATTGCTCGACAGACAGACAATCGTTGACCATACATAGTTATAATTTATTGACGTTTCTAAACATCCTTAGCAGTTTTGTAACGTTCTGAAATCCCCAGGTGCAAAAATCGATATGGAGCCTGTACCTGCAATTACCAAGAAATAAAGAATTTTAAATTTGATTGTTATCATACTATGGCTGGTGTATTGGAGAAAAAAGCATAGACCCGCAGCAATTCGTTTTATTTTTTGCGGATATCCGCCCGGGGGCGGGTCCTTATTAAGGGCCCCTAGTTCTGAGAACCGATGCGGTGCACGAGTTGCACCAGCCCAGCTACGCCCTTCATCCTCTGACGGAACGACTGGTAAAAAAGAAGGACGAATTCGTGATTTATTATGTTTTGTTGCTCTATATCAGAAAATAATTTATTTTCAAATTCATTTAATATATTTGAAATCAATGGAGCTTTGATTATACCTATCAATTGCTGGCTCATGTTCAGCTACAGACCCCCCGATTAACCCCTTCAACATTTAATCCACACCCAGGGGGTCAATACCGACCTCTGTTTAAGATTAATGTAGTATTTTTAAGATAAGTTTCCACTTTCCGCAAAAGTCCAATTAGCTGTCCGGGTACTGGAAAACGAAACAATATCATTCTCCCCATAGTACATCACACATTTCAAATTTTTAATGATAGATAGATAAATAAATAAATAAATAAATAAATAAATAAACTCTCTACAGCAAATGGAGTACGCACTACCACAACCCTACAATAAAAAACAATAAGGATTCACCAGCTACACGTACGGCGACATCCTGGGGGAAAACGTAGGCAACAGTCATGGACTTTCCAGCAATTTCGGGATGGGATTTCGGCAAGTAAACATTACATGGCGATCTGGTTATTTTTTCTGCATCCGCTTTGTACGACAATTTACATAATAAAGTGTCAAAGCAACGTTGGACTTTGAAGATGTGATTTGTTGCCTTTACAAGACATAACAAACCAGTCAGTGCTTTAGGGTGCCTTCACAGATCGCCACAGACGCGCGCTTCCGATAAGCGACCGGGCTCTGCCCATGTCGCCACCGCTGCACGCCAATGCCGCACCGCCGCGGAGGGGGGGGGGGGTTCAGCGGGGGTACGCTTTGCCGACCCTCCGGCGACGACGAACAAAGGGACCTCAGCAGGTAAAATGCCGCGACCGGCGGCGCAGTGTGAATACCATCACTTAAAACAATTATCTGCTAGCGGTGACGCGTACGCCCTCCTGCGCTTCTCAT